AAAAACCATCACTGTTAATATTAAAACCGGTCGGTTTCACTTGGTACTAAGGCTTTGATTTTATTTCATGAGAAGAAAAAGTCCCAGGCTAAACGCAGAACTGATCGAAGTGAAAATGGAAACAGGTGCAAGTAATGTTAACCCCAATGCCAATGCTGGTAATGCCAACGCGAATGTTAACATAGAAAGCGCAAGGCAAATTGTTAACGTGCCTAAGCAAAGCGCTAATCCCACCGGAAATGCGCCTGCGAGTTCCAATGTTATGAACAGCCAAAGGCAAGCTAACACGAACGCCAATGTTAATGCTAACGTTGGCCGTACTAATAATCCATCGAATGTAATGCTAACAGAAAATCAGTTCAGGCAATTGCTAGGAAACCTCCATGTAAACCAAGATACTAGGGCTATTTTTAGTAAATGTAGCGTACGTTTTAATGGTGGAAGGAACACCAGCAAAATTGAAGATTTCATAGCGACCATTTTAGTATACAAAGATGCGGAAAACATATCGGACGAACTAGCGCTGTTAAGTTTACCTCTTCTATTAGAAGGTTACGCATCGTCATGGTGGCAAGGTGTGAAGGAGGAAGCGGAAACATTTAACGACGCCATTGATTTGCTTCGCAAAGCGTTTTCTCCGCCGAAACCCGACTGGCGTATTTTTTCGGAGATAAGTCAGGAAAAACAAAAGTTCACGGAGCCAACCGACGTATTCATATGCAGAAAAAGACAATTATTCGCCCAACTTTCTGAAAAGCTAAGCGAAAAAACCATGATCAACATGATATTTTCCCAATTAGTTCTAAAGATACGAGAGAAAATTCCTCGTGAAAGTGTAGGAACATTTAGCGAGCTGTTAGACAAAGCTCGCGAAGCAGAGTTGCTACTTGGTGAGAGCAAAGAAGTTTATAAAGCTGTTGACTTAGCCAGCAACTCGACTAGCAAAATTCCCCTTCGTTGTTCCTACTGTAGAAAGAAAAATCATTCCGTGGAAAACTGTTTTAAGAAAATGGAATCTGAAAAGAAAACCACAGAGAAAATGAAAGAAACCACTTTAAGCTGTTATGGTTGCGGTACACCAGGGTACTACAGGTCGAATTGTCCAAACTGCAATCAGAAAAATCCGTTACGTAGCCCCGAGAAACTCGATTTTAACACTATACAAACCACCGTAATAGGTCGAAATGTACCAACTGTTGACATAAACATTAATGGCTTGAAAGGTGAAGCATATCTAGATACAGCTGCTAGAACGAGCGTTGCAAGTAGTAAACTTTACGAGAAGCTTAAAGAAAAAGGTGTTGAATTTCAAAAGGTTTTTGCGGAAATTAAATTAGCTGATGGCATTCCTCGCCAGCAGATGGTTTACTCTACTATCGTCGATATTATAATTGGAAAGCGATTCAAACGTATACGTTTTATTTGTTTGGCAAATGCTGAAAACAATCGAACGCTGTTAGGCATCGATTTTCTTGAGCAAGCTGGCATAGTAATGGACCTTGCACAACGAACGTGGCATTTTAAGGACGACGCTAATACTATGTTTGAGTTTAAGATGCAATCAGCTGAAATTAAGCATTCCTTATCGCTGTCTGAGGCAAACATACGAACCCATAGGGAAAATCATAACCCAATTAATGATTTTATGTCCTGGTTCGAAAACACAAATAGCAGTTTCGAGTCATCATATGAATACTCGCCAAGAGAAATAAGGGACATATTTGCTGGGAGTATACCAGAAAACTATGAGATACCGGAACAAAACGATTTGTTTCCACCCATGAAGAGAGTAAAAAAGAGTAATAAAGCTGAAGGGAGAGTAAGCTGCTCTATCGACATAAATTCGGTCGAAATAAGACTTCGCCCCAATGAAGGTGCAGCCTTAGCCGAAAGCGAAAGAACAAGACTACAGAAATTGCTAGAAGCACACAAAGAAATCTTTGAAGAAACTACAGTACCAATACCGCACATGGAACACCACATAAAGACGGAGGCGCATGCACCCATTTCTTCACATCCCTATCGAATTTCACCAGCAATGAAAAACAAATTAAAAATTGAACTGGAAGACATGCTGAAAAAGGGCATTATTGAAGAAAGCAAATCTCCATGGTCATTTCCGGTTGTGTTAATACCGAAAAAAGATGGAGGAGTGAGGTTTTGCGTAGATTATCGGCGTTTGAATGCCATAACCACAACAGACACATACCCACTACCACGAATGGATGACCTGTTACATGCAGCAAAAGCCACACCTTTCATGTCCACCATCGATCTAAAAGCCGGATATTGGCAAATAAAAATGGCGCCTGCAGCTAAGCCGAAAACTGCATTCACAACCCCGTTTGGAATCTTTGTTTTTAATCGAATGCCGTTCGGATTGAAGAACGCTCCGGCCACGTTCCAGCGCCTGATCGATAAATTTCGGTCCGAATTGCCACATATTTTAATACTAGCGTACCTAGATGACATAATTATATGCTCAAACGATTTTAACTCTCATATGCAAAACTTGCGACAAACTCTTTCAAAAATCAAAGAATATGGCTTTCAGTTGAATAGAGGAAAATGTGTTTTCTGTCGAGAAGAGATAAAGTATCTCGGACATATTTTAACCACGAAAGGACTTAAGGTTGATAACGAAAAGGCACATGCTGTCCTCAAGCGCCCGAATCCGAAAAATTTGAAGCAGCTCGTATCATTCTTGCAAACGTGCTCTTGGTATAGACGGTTTATTCCAAACTTTGCTGATGTGGCAAAACCTTTGTCACAGCTGACAAAGAAAAATGCGAAATGGAGATGGTCCGCAGAGGAGCAGAATGCATTCGATAGACTTAAAGATCTGCTTTCTTCGCCGCCAGTTCTACAGCAAGTTGATGAAACCAAGCCGTTTATCTTAAAAACGGATGCCAGTGATTATGCGCTTGGAGCTGTTCTCCTGCAGGGGGAGAATGAGGAAGAACATCCGATTGAATACGCGAGGCGCCTTTTGCTGGCAGCAGAAAGAAACTACTCTACAACAGAACGTGAAGCACTGGCCATAGTTTGGGCTCTACAAAAGTTTCGCGGATATGTAGAAGGTTCAGAAATTACCGTGTTAACTGACCATCAACCACTTAAATGGCTATTTAGTCTAAAAACACCCACAGGACGTCTTGCTAGGTGGGCGTTGCAACTTCAGATGTATAATTTGAAGCTGGGGTATACAGCAGGCAAGCAAAACGTTGTGGCAGATATGCTGTCTCGTCCACCCTGTTGCCCTGAGAATAAGTCTAATGTTAACTCCTTTGAGATAGACTTTCCTCGCAAAGGCGCCGAGGAGTTCAGAAAGGAGCAATTAAAAGACGAGGAACTGAAATACATCATTGAGTCTTTCGAAAAAGATGACGAAAATGTTACCAGACATACAAACCGAGGATATATGATGGTTAATGGTGTACTACACCGATTCTGTTCAGATGAAGATTCAGAAAATGGTCAACTAGTAGTACCCAAAAGTTTAAGAGAAACAGTTTTAATAAAATTTCACGTGGATCCAACTGCAGGACATTATGGAATTGATCGAACTACCAGCCGAATCACTCCACTTTATTTTTGGCCGGGTATGCGCGCAGACATTTCCCAGTATGTGAAGTCTTGTGTTGAATGCAAAAAAATATAAACCCACCAATATGAAACCAGCTGGTTTGCTCCAAACAGTTTCCAGCAATCAGAGGTTTGAGATCATTGCGCTTGACTTGTTCGGTCCTTTACCTTGCACAGCCAAGGGTAACCGTTGGATACTGGTCGTTGAGGACTTGTGTAGTCGTTGGGTTGAACTTTTTGCACTAAAGGAAGCTTCAGCAGAGGCTTGCGCAACCACAGTTTTAAAAGAAATTGTGCTGAGATTCGGTGTGCCACGACGTTTACATTCAGACAACGGAAGTCAATTCATTTCAGCCGTAATGCAAAAGCTAGCCTACTGTCTTGGAATCAACCAAACATTTACACCGCTATATCACCCGGAGGCTAATCCTGTGGAAAGGAAGAACAGGGACCTCAAAAGTCAACTAGCTATTTACGTCGGCAAAGATCATACTGCTTGGGACACATGTTTACCAACGATAAGATTCGCAATGAATTCTGCTAAATGTGAGAGCACTGGCTTCTCGGCAGCATACCTTACGTTTGGGAGGGAGCTAAGAAGCCCACTTGAAGCACACTACGATCTGAAACGGGTAGTCGAAGCAGAAAACTTTGTGCCGCAAATTACGCCTCAGCTGACCAAACTTGCGAACACATTGAAACTAGCAGTAGAAATACAAGAAAAACGTCAAGACAAGAATAAACGTTATGTAGATAACAAACGTCGACCTCGTCCAACATTTAATATTGGCGATAAAGTACTCGTTGCAACACACATACTTAGCAAAGCAAGTGAAAAAGTAACGTCGAAATTTGCCACACGTAGAGATGGACCATACCGCATCTCTGCCAAGAAAGGATCAAGCTGTTACGTTATCGCAACTAACGAGAAGCCAGATGAGCCTATTGGAACGTATCACGCCACTGCATTGACTCCATATGAAGGTCCGAATGTTGACCCAAAATACCAACACAGGAAGCGAGGACGTCCAAAAGCAGCATCTACATCCGCACACATACCAGCAAACATTAATACGCAAAAGCCTACGCAACACAACAGCAGTGAAATTCAGGCCCACAACAATAATGCCAATGTCTCAACTAGAGTCCTACGTCCACGAAAATGATACCGGAAATGCTGACTGCATCATCGGGGCGATGTATGCGTCAGAGGGGGAGGCTGTAGCGACTGTATCCGGAAGCACGCATGCTATATTCATTATCATGCTCACTTATATACTTATGTTATCATGTATACATGTTATTCGTTATGTTAACCCTGTTTCTGTTAAAATATTAATGTTAAAAGCTTTTGTTAAAAGATTCTGTTAAAAGCTTTTGTTGAAAGCTTGGGTTAAAGCTGTACTATTTCTTTATGTTACTTAACATTGAATTAGACTCAATTTCTTTTGATCATGCCAAAACCCACCACATTTGTACTCAATTTTGCGAATATTTATAACTGTTGTCTTTTTTGTTTCACATCGTTTCAATTTTAGTTATTTAAGATCATACTCCAATGTAAATTGATTCATTCGTACAGCGACTAATAAAGACGCATGATCTATTTCGGACACCTCTTGCGTTTTATTTTAAAATTCGGTCATCGTGCTTAGTGAAGCTTAGACACTGGTAGACAGTATTGGCTCTTGTGGCTAGCTTTATTAAACACGAATGTGCGAATCACTTAGGGATACTACTTCTCTAAATCTGGCGCCCAACTAAAATCGCGAACTTTTTAATTAAAATTTTCGAAAATTACCAGTAACGGCGTTTCGAAGCCTAATCTGCGAACAATCTGCTGCGAAAATCATTTAGACGCTTGAAGACAAGTTTTGGCTCTTGCGGCTAATGACAAAAGCAGATAACATTGTCCTAATACACTGCAGTAAAATAGCGGAAAACAAATCCATCGCGACGATTCTGGAAGTCTGGTTTGCTGCGGACATCAGCGGGTTCCTAAGTCCAGTTGAGTCGTATTGCTGTGTTGTGGATACGAATATTCATACCATTGCTGTTGTTGTTGTTGCTGAAAAACTGCCATCAAAAGCGCACCAGAGCTGCACTTATTTGTTGTTGTTGCTGAAATACTGCCTTCAAAAGCGAATCAGAGCTGCACTTATTTGTTGTTGTTGTTGCTCAAAGACTGTGCAAAGGCTCTAAGACTGCTTGGACAAATTCACGTGGGTTGTTGCCGAAAAACTGCCAAGGCGAATCAGGTTACGTGGTTGTTGTTGTTCACAGTACATGCAGAGGCTCTAAAACTGTTTTGGGCAAACTCACATTCTTGCGGTACGCAACCGAGATCTTCGTTGCATACCTTCAGGCTTAACTACTTCCTGTTGGAATTTCATAACAGTGTTCACCCTTCTGGTAGAATCGATAAAAACCATCACTGTTAATATTAAAACCGGTCGGTTTCACTTGGTACTAAGGCTTTGATTTTATTTCATGAGAAGAAAAAGTCCCAGGCTAAACGCAGAACTGATCGAAGTGAAAATGGAAACAGGTGCAAGTAATGTTAACCCCAATGCCAATGCTGGTAATGCCAACGCGAATGTTAACATAGAAAGCGCAAGGCAAATTGTTAACGTGCCTAAGCAAAGCGCTAATCCCACCGGAAATGCGCCTGCGAGTTCCAATGTTATGAACAGCCAAAGGCAAGCTAACACGAACGCCAATGTTAATGCTAACGTTGGCCGTACTAATAATCCATCGAATGTAATGCTAACAGAAAATCAGTTCAGGCAATTGCTAGGAAACCTCCATGTAAACCAAGATACTAGGGCTACTTTTAGTAAATGTAGCGTACGTTTTAATGGTGGAAGGAACACCAGCAAAATTGAAGATTTCATAGCGACCATTTTAGTATACAAAGATGCGGAAAACATATCGGACGAACTAGCGCTGTTAAGTTTACCTCTTCTATTAGAAGGTTACGCATCGTCATGGTGGCAAGGTGTGAAGGAGGAAGCGGAAACATTTAACGACGCCATTGATTTGCTTCGCAAAGCGTTTTCTCCGCCGAAACCCGACTGGCGTATTTTTTCGGAGATAAGTCAGGAAAAACAAAAGTTCACGGAGCCAACCGACGTATTCATATGCAGAAAAAGAGAATTATTCGCCCAACTTTCTGAAAAGCTAAGCGAAAAAACCATGATCAACATGATATTTTCCCAATTAGTTCTAAAGATACGAGAGAAAATTCCTCGTGAAAGTGTAGGAACATTTAGCGAGCTGTTAGACAAAGCTCGCGAAGCAGAGTTGCTACTTGGTGAGAGCAAAGAAGTTTATAAAGCTGTTGACTTAGCCAGCAACTCGACTAGCAAAATTCCCCTTCGTTGTTCCTACTGTAGAAAGAAAAATCATTCCGTGGAAAACTGTTTTAAGAAAATTGAATCTGAAAAGAAAACCACAGAGAAAATGAAAGAAACCACTTTTAGCTGTTATGGTTGCGGTACACCAGGGTACTACAGGTCGAATTGTCCAAACTGCAATCAGAAAAATCCGTTACGTAGCCCCGAGAAACTCGATTTTAACACTATACAAACCACCGTAATAGGTCGAAATGTACCAACTGTTGACAAATGTTTATGGCTTGAAAGGTGAAGCATATCTAGATACAGCTGCTAGAACGAGCGTTGCAAGTAGTAAACTTTACGAGAAGCTTAAAGAAAAAGGTGTTGAATTTCAAAAGGTTTTTGCGGAAATTAAATTAGCTGATGGCATTCCTCGCCAGCAGATGGTTTACTCTACTATCGTCGATATTATAATTGGAAAGCGATTCAAACGTATACGTTTTATTTGTTTGGCAAATGCTGAAAACAATCGAACGCTGTTAGGCATCGATTTTCTTGAGCAAGCTGGCATAGTAATGGACCTTGCACAACGAACGTGGCATTTTAAGGACGACGCTAATACTATGTTTGAGTTTAAGATGCAATCAGCTGAAATTAAGCATTCCTTATCGCTGTCTGAGGCAAACATACGAACCCATAGGGAAAATCATAACCCAATTAATGATTTTATGTCCTGGTTCGAAAACACAAATAGCAGTTTCGAGTCATCATATGAATACTCGCCAAGAGAAATAAGGGACATATTTGCTGGGAGTATACCAGAAAACTATGAGATACCGGAACAAAACGATTTGTTTCCACCCATGAAGAGAGTAAAAAAGAGTAATAAAGCTGAAGGGAGAGTAAGCTGCTCTATCGACATAAATTCGGTCGAAATAAGACTTCGCCCCAATGAAGGTGCAGCCTTAGCCGAAAGCGAAAGAACAAGACTACAGAAATTGCTAGAAGCACACAAAGAAATCTTTGAAGAAACTACAGTACCAATACCGCACATGGAACACCACATAAAGACGGAGGCGCATGCACCCATTTCTTCACATCCCTATCGAATTTCACCAGCAATGAAAAACAAATTAAAAATTGAACTGGAAGACATGCTGAAAAAGGGCATTATTGAAGAAAGCAAATCTCCATGGTCATTTCCGGTTGTGTTAATACCGAAAAAAGATGGAGGAGTGAGGTTTTGCGTAGATTATCGGCGTTTGAATGCCATAACCACAACAGACACATACCCACTACCACGAATGGATGACCTGTTACATGCAGCAAAAGCCACACCTTTCATGTCCACCATCGATCTAAAAGCCGGATATTGGCAAATAAAAATGGCGCCTGCAGCTAAGCCGAAAACTGCATTCACAACCCCGTTTGGAATCTTTGTTTTTAATCGAATGCCGTTCGGATTGAAGAACGCTCCGGCCACGTTCCAGCGCCTGATCGATAAATTTCGGTCCGAATTGCCACATATTTTAATACTAGCGTACCTAGATGACATAATTATATGCTCAAACGATTTTAACTCTCATATGCAAAACTTGCGACAAACTCTTTCAAAAATCAAAGAATATGGCTTTCAGTTGAATAGAGGAAAATGTGTTTTCTGTCGAGAAGAGATAAAGTATCTCGGACATATTTTAACCACGAAAGGACTTAAGGTTGATAACGAAAAGGCACATGC